AAAAAAAAAAAAAAAAAAAAAAAATGACATTTCAAACTTTTCTCCCTGATCCAGGGAGGAGATGTCGTGATGATGACTCACTGCATCAGGAACGTCCTGTCCAGTGGGCTCAGGAAAGCTTGCCAGGCCACTTCTCTAAAGAACCTGAGACCTCCTGGAATAATTCTCTCATAGCATTCTGAACACACATGTAGTGTTAGGTCCCTGACAATATAGGCCCCAGGTTTGCACTGTGTGAAATGGAACCTTTAATTTCTTACTAGCTCTTTCTATTTTTGGTTTGCAGAAAATCATAATGGTAAGGTGGATGAAGACACACAAGAGCTATTGGCCCCCAGGTAACTCTGAATGCTGCAGGGACTGATAATGGAATGATGAAATCTAAAGAGGATTCTAGAAGCAAATGACAGAGAGGTCAAATGTCCCAGATCTAGGAAAAAACATAAACTACTGATTATACCTATTTTGTTCATTCATTATACAAGGATGTGTCCTTTTAAAAATGGTTGTCTGTTCTCTTTGCAGTTCTTGTATTAATTTTCATTTCCTAGTAATTCCTCAAGTTTAGTTAACTAGTCAGTCTGACCTAAAGGTAAATTAACCAGAGACCCCTGGTTTCCATATCTTAAAAACCTGTGTGTTTAAAAACCAAAGTGAGATCCCTATCTGGTTTCTGTACAGTTATCCTGAAGTATATTGGCAGATGTTTCCTAGATAGAAAAATTACCTTGAAAAATACCTTTTAAAAATATCAAATATTTAGAGAGAGGGGTCTAAAAAGCTGCAAAAGCCCTGGGAGGTTACATTGTCTTAGGAGCCAGTATTCAATGGACCACTTCATATAATATCAAATAAAATTTTTACACAGCATTTTGAAGCTGATATTATAGGTCTCTGTGTATCCTGTGTGTCATAAGTGGCTTTTAGAGTAGTTGTTGAGTCTACTTCTTCATCCATGTGCCATGAGGTCAGCACACTGAGCACCTGTCGCTCCCTCTTCTACTCCAATTCTAAGCATACTATACTCCCAGTCAGAAGTGGATTGTTTTGCTTCCTCTCCAGTAAGAGGGTCCCCTTGGTTTTTGGTGCCTCTTCCATGAGCTTCAGATCAGGACCAGCTGTGAAGCTGGGCTCCAGGTTGCCTTGGTTTAATCCCTTGTCTTGCCTACCCCAACAGGCTCAGCAGGGATGTCCAGGAGGCGGAGCTGAAGGACTCACTAGATGAACGGTATTTAACTCGCTTCCGCCGCCATGATTCCCATCAGCCTCCCAGCAGCAACACTTTCCTGTCTGATGCACAGGAAGCCCCCTCTGCTCTGGATGTAGCCAGTGAGTTCTCCCCTTATAACAAAAATAAGCTTCAAAAACTTTCCAGTAGTTTCTACATTCTACATGCTCACCACTACCATGAGAGATATCATCTCTGTAGGCAGGCCCTAAAGATTCACCTTGAAAAGATGATTAGGCTCTGGGATCAAGTCTCAAGTGCAGGTCCCTAGTGAGTCAGGTAATTTGTGTTGTTCCTAGTCCACACCTCACCTCAGTCACTCTGGCCCCCGTTGGCATATGCAAGCTGATGGGCTCAAGGCAGGTCACAGTGCAGAGTAGAGGGGTCATGGCAAACTCTCTGCCACCACTGCAGCACATGTACAGAATCCATCTGACAGACTTCCTTCTTTAAGATGGGACATCTTATCTTTCCTGAAATGTTCTTGATAATTATAATTCCTGAACAGTCTTTCTAAGCTTTTCTAGCTGTCCAAGAATGTTAGCAGTCTTGAGTATATTTTTGGAAGTGCAATAATCACGGTTTCTGGATTTCAAGTTCCAGTCTCTATCTCCTCTTGAGTGCTTGCCTCCCTATAAGGTACAGCTGAGTACCAGAACATCAGGTGATTTCACTGAAGACAAGACTGAGCTTGGTGACCCTTGGATAAATGGCCAGGGTTTCCATCCTTTGTGTAGCACCAAAGATTTTTTGGTGTGTAAGCCAGTCTAAACCAACAACAAGAATATCTGCTGTAGAAAAAGCTGAATCTAACAGCAATGCCACCAGCATTCCCCCTTCCCAAAAGAACTCCAAGGAAGCCAGTGGAACTTCCTCAGGTATGTAAGGGCCCCTGGCGATAGTGGCCTCGTTGGCATGTGTATAGATTAAAACTTTAACCTTTATCTCCTTTCCCTTACTTGACTGTTTGACTTTCCTTTGGGGACAAAAGTTTGGATTTTGTTAGGGGACTGTATGTCTTATAACTTCTTCTAGGCAAGAAAAAGACTGTATTATTTAATAATTCAAGTGAGGTTTTTTTGTAGTAATATAAACCACATTAGATTTGTCTTTCTACCTCTTTTTGCCAGTGGCGGATATAAGTATGTGCCTTTCATTACGAAATCATTCTCATTTCTGTTTCCAATTTCACCCTGAGGTGCAGACGAAGATCTTCATCATCTATTAAAGATGTTTGGGAGAGGTATTTAGAGGAGGAGAAGCTATTCTCTAGTACCTACAAGTCATCCCAGGGAGGTGGCCACACCTTTCCCAGTGCTAGACAAGCCGTACCTGGAGGCCTTCAGTGTTTTCCCACCTGCCATCAACCTCCCTTACACTTCCCATATCCCTGTGTGGGAGGCAGCCCTGTGGAGTTTGCTTAGCACTTGGCCTTCCTTTGTTAGAAAGCCTAAGAGCTCTTAAAGGAAGTTGCATAGTGTTCCCTGATGAGAGGATCAAGTTGGCAGAAAGAAGATTGATGAAAGGCAGGTATCTTGATGCGAGGCCCCTGGCTACCCCATTAGTGACAAGAATTCTTTATCTCCTATCTTATTCCATGTCCTGGTGGAATGGCTGCAGAAGATGAGATCCAGAACCTACAGCAGCACCTGAGGGAAACTCTTTTCATCAATGACTGCCTGCGAGAAAAGTTGGAATATCATCTCAGCATCTTTGACCAAAGAACTGGTAGGGGAGGCCCAAGTCGGCCTGCTTCTGGCAACATGTATCTTTCTAAGGGCATGTCGCCAGGAAAGAACTTTACAGATTTCAAGCACTTTGATATATCTTATTTCACTTATTTATCACAAATGGCCCAACTAGGGAGGTAGGGCAGGTACTATTATTCCTATTTTATAGGTGAATAAATAGGCTTAGATTTTATAAGTGACTAAATAGGCTTAAATAGAGACTTGTCCCAAGCATAAGCTATGCCTCCATCTGAGGGCCATCTGACATAAAAGACCACTCTTGTGATCCCTATGCTGTGTACTGGCTGTTGCTGTATACTGCCTGCTGTCTGTCTGCTTCTTATGTGATTATCATTCAATAGAACCCTGGTTTCTAAGCTCCTCATTCAGCAGAGTGAGGGTCTCCTCTGCTGCCGTCCTCATCCACCTCCCAATGTCTTGGTTACTCTTCATGGTCCCCAAGGTGGTTCTCCTCACCCCCTTAAATTGCTCTCACACAGAAGACATCATTCCATAACATCATACTGGACTCGAAGAACAGTGACCAGGGCCCTTCCCATACCAGAGCAGCAGCTATTTAATGGGAAAAGCCTCTTCATACTGCAGCCATTGGGTATGATAATGCATGTGTGAGTGTGCTGGCATTTATTAAAGATCATGTGAAAATTAAGCTTCTGTCCCATCACACTGAAGTCCCAGCCCTTGAGTCCCCACAATTTTTTCCCCAGACTGAGATAGAAAGGAAGGACATAAAGCATTCTCTTAAGCAAACATGTGTAACTTGCCTAAGTTGTAATTATTTCCTGGAACAGGATGCAACTCCAACCTCTACAGGCAGATACTAGATTCTGTTGCCCAGCTGTGTAATGAAAACAGAGTCCTCTGGGAAGAATACCAGAGACTTCCTGTTTGCCCGAATCGTACTTCCAGAGGTAAGTGGTGAAAGCCTACAACGTGAGCTCACTCTCAGATGGCTCCCTTCTCTTGCCACACCCAGCTATAGAAACAAAAGAGGATAGGGAGGCCAGAGCTGCCCAAAGCCTCATGACCCACAGTTCTCATATTCTCAATTCAGGTAGGGCTGCTTCCTAGGTGTCCACCTGTAAGCCCGCAGACCACCAGGCTTCAGGGATGAGTAGCTCTGGGAAATCCAACATTTAGGTCCAAAGCGCACTCCACTATTGCAAGCTGGAGATGAGAAGAACAAACTTAAAAGATGAAAAGATTTAAGAGAACAATTAATTATTTTAATTGAGTAAAATTTGCCAAGATTAGATAAACTTTCTCCTAGAGTGCTGAAAGAATAAGCATACACCACTTAGATTCTAAGTCAGTGGTCTTTGGGGAAGTATGGAGACCAAAAAGTGCCATGAGCCAAAAAAGAAACAAAAATCCCAATTTTTAAGCTGCTGAAAATAAATCACTAAAAAATTGAAATAAGTATAGTTGATGTTGGTCTCGGCAAAATGCAAATGTATTACATTCGAATTATAATATCTTAGTCAGCTTATTGTGCCCATCTCTTACTATTGAGAAGAAAAACCAAAACACAACAAAAATATCTTCGAACTGGCAAAAATGTTTATAAACCTGCAAAATATCTTCAGCCTATCCCCTAAACCCCAGACTTTGTATTTACTGAGCTCTTACTGTGTATAGTGCCCACCTCAAAATGCATCCCTGTACAAGTTCTGGTACGTATCAGCCAACATCACATGGGATTCCTTTTACCCTCTCACTCCTGTGGTTTGTTTTTGCTTCCAAGGACCCTTCTAAGTACGAATGTCCTCAGACTATTGGAGTCACTTTGCCTGATGGCTCAGAGAGCTGGAAGTACCTGTGAGTTTACCTATGATTGACAGGTGCAGGTGTACAGAAGCCCAGCTACTTGACTTCAGGGAGTTCTAGTGGTGATTCAGTTTGGGAAAAAAGAATCCAGAGGCCAACTTTGTAAAGACCCAGATAGATAGATGGAGGAAAATCTTTGCCTTGGAAGTCCAATTGAGAAAGAGAATGATTTACTTGAGACTGAGAAGGAAGGTGAAAATCTTTAGGTCTAATGGAAAAGAAGCCTATGGTAGAAGAGATAAACAAGGAGAATGGTAGGAAATAGGGCGTGTCTACTCAGTAGCTTTAAATCATGCTGTCATATGATAAGAACCTGATAAGATTTTTAACTAACACAAATGTCTGAACTCACATGTAGGCATTCTGATTTACATGGTTTCAGGTGGGTGTGGGACAGTAGTAGTCTTAAAATCTCCCAGGTGATTGTAACATGTGGCTAGAGATGAGGACCATCAGTCTCATAGAATCTGAGGTCACAGCACAGAAGTGTCCCAAATGTGCAGCTACTTCATAGAAAAGGATTAACAACAGGCATTGATGGACTTTGCCTTCCTCTCTCAATGTCTTGTTTGCATAGCATGGAAAAAGAGATGAGAAAAAGAGGTAGGATTGAATTGGATGGATTGAATCTATAAACTGTCTTGTGTAGAACAGAGTTTCTTAAACTTTTTTGACCATATGATACAGTAAGCAATACACAACCCTCTGTGACCCAGTATACAAACACACACACACACACACAAGACCCTACTATATGAAATGGGCCCTACTCAGTATTTAAATAAAATCTGTTGTAGTAAACAGTCCACTATATTGATTTTACAAGCCACTAATGGTTTAGAATTGCAATTTGAAAATTTTTGCCTTTGGTCAGCCTTTTTATTAAGCAAAATCCCAAAAGAGAGCTTTTAGATCTTATTCTCCTAATGAGAATATAATAGCAATAAGATATAAAACTTTAGGGAACAGCTTTTATATTTATATTTGCCTTCCCTACACTGGAATGAAATACCAAAAACAAAAAAAAAAAAAGCAAAAAAACCCAAAAATGTTTCCCTAATAGGTAATTTGGAAATAATTAGGTGATGGGGGAACACCTGGGAATGAGAAATTAGTACTTTTTCACTTTTCATTTAAGAACTTTATTAGTTTATCTACTGAAAATATTCCGAGAAATGCTCCTAAGGAGCAATCTGATGTGGAATTAACTTTGTAGAATGTTGGTCTTCGATGGGAGTAAATGGATCAGCCCAAGGTTTACTCCTTGCTCTTTATTTGCTAATTTCCTTTTTTCTCTTTATGATGATTCCTTCTCCCTACCCTACCTTATCTCTTTAGAAGAACATTTATGAAGAGTCTTTCTGTAAAGCCTTATTCCTGTCCTAGCCAAGGTGACCCAACAGTCTCTAGAGCCTACTAGCTTCCTCCAGATTGAAGCTTTCCCTCTAACTTCCCCTAAACTCTGTGATGTAGTAGAAAAGGTTTGAAGCCTGGATTCTAGTCTCAGGCTTGTCACCTACAGGTCATATGGCTTTAGCTAGTCCTTAGCCTCTTAATACCACTGTCTCTTCGTGGCCAGAAATGGAACTGTATTTGGATGGTTTGAGGGTCCTGCTGCCTTTCATGTTCTAGGGCACTTCTTTTGGCACCACCCTCCTATTTAAAAGGAATAGGGCATGGATTTAGAAGGGGGATTTCTCTGCAAAATATCTTCTCTTTTCTAAAACTAGCTGTTTCTTAATGTACATGTTTCAGGCACGAGGGTGGTGTGAAAGACCTTTATTTTTCTCCACAAGAATAGAGTGGAGAGTAAATTGAGGCTGGGGAGGAGGTGGTAGGGACTTGGCTAACTCGCCTGTAGCAACTTTGAGCAGGGCTATTAGCATCACGAGGTGGTGGGGCCCTGTGTCCTACTTTGCAGGCCAGCCAGTGTATTTCAGGAGACTTTCCTTCTAATCTGCTGGTACCACTATCTCCTTCCAGACTGTAGTTCACCACTAGAGCTTATCCACTTAGCCAAACTCAGTTTGCACCTGGCCCCTATCACCACTTAGCTCTCACTCCAGCGTCAGTTAGGTGTCAGCAAGACCCGGCAGAAGATTCTTGTTCAGTTGGTTTTGTTTTGTTTTCTGTTTCAGGTAACAACTAATGTTGGAAGTATGAAAAGTTCCCATTTAATTTCAACAAAGCTTAGTCACAAACCGTTCCTCAGTTGACGAGAAAAATGAAAATGACAGAACAAGTGAAAATCCAAATCTAAAAGCAAGAGGGCTCCACCTCTAAGAATCAAATTTTACAGCTATTCCAGATTTTTACTCCAAATGAATAGTTTGATTGCAGAAATCACAGCCCTTCAGCCTGCAAAGGTGATGACTTCCTAAGGGACCCAATGCCGAGATTCACAGATAATCTTGAAAGATCCTCCCTTTTCCTTCCCCACTCCCATCCTATGTACGACTGGAGTCTACAGTAGCTGGAGGAGAATAAGTCAGAATAATGCCCCTGCAGACTATTCATCAGCTCTTCAGTATATGTCCATTTTCCTTGAAGGATGGGGGTTTAGAAACCTCTGAGAATAAAGTTTATTTCGTACTCATTCTGTTGCCTATTGTTTTTCATACAAATCAAATTTATAAAGCTTTCTTTCTTCACTAAAAGCAGGAAACTCGATCATTAATATGTCCACTGCATGTATACCACAGAGTGATAGCAACCAGTTTGGGTGCACCGCTTTGTTCCAAGATAAGTGTTAGTGCTTGGTAGTGTGCCAAAAAACTACGTTGTGTCCCACATTCTGGGGAAAGGTAGGCAACAAATTCTGCCTCTGCAGGGTAGCAGTCACACACATATTCACTCCCGGGCAACCCAAGGAAGCAGTGATAGAATCTCCACCAAAGAATGATCTTCAGAGTTTACTGTTCACTCATGACCTGGAAAAATCTGGGTAGGCCAAATTTCCATCCTAAAGGTTTCTATAGGATCCACAGGTAGAGACAATATATCCTGAGGCGACACTCCTTTGGATTTCTTTGTCAGAAAATAAATTCTTCATACCTGTTGACTTGTCTTTTGCAATCAAATATAAAAGTGGGACATCTTATTCTGAAGCTTTGAGACATAGAAAGTAGCCTCGAACTTACCAGACTTCCAGGTGAAAAGGCTGATTCATGTAAGAAGGACAAGGAAGACACATCACCCATTCACTGAGTGAAAGGAGGAGCTCCCTCATATGAGTTTGTACAGCAGCCTAGTGACCTACATTTTCTTGTAGCAGGGAGTGCACTGAGGACTGTTACCCTCTTCTGCGAGGAGACCCACAGAGAGCCAATTTTTAGCCTAGAACTCAGCCAGCTCTTCATAGCCTCCCATGTTTTACATTTTCCTCCACAATTACTCACTTTGAAATATTTCAGACCTACAGAAAAGTTGAAAAACAATATTATGAGCACCTCCATACTGTTTATCTAAGTTCAACAATTAACATTTCACTGGGTTTTTTTCTCTGTCTACACATACCTACACACATTCA